CTTTTATACATGGACGTCACAATCATTCTCACTCATTAAACGTCAAATTTGATAGCTTGGGGTGAGTCACGAAGTCGAAGATTTTTTTTTTTTTCTTAGCTCTGTGACTACCCAATGACACTTTTATAGTCACCCATTTTGAAATTTAAGGGATAAGAATGATTGTGACCAGCATATATAAAAGATAAATAGTCTCTCTATAGACAATCCCTAAAACAATTTTGTGAAGAAGGAATTTATGGCTAAATGTAAAAAAACTAAAAAATAAAAAAATAATAAAAAATAAAAAAGGAGCATAAGGGCTAATCCAATGTTGGAGAAAACAAATGAGACAAATTTTTTTTAAAAAAGAACTAAATTCAAAAGTAACTTGATTGAGGAGACATCATATTGTTGTACTTAAAAATTAAAAATAAAAATCGAGTATGGGTTGTTAAATGTGGCAATATCAGGGCCCCAAGAAACGAGTTAATAAAGAGGAAAAATAATAAAAGAAATGGTCCGCAACATTGGACCAGTGGCAATACTAAAATAAAAAAATAGTGAAGAAGGGGTGAGGTTTGTATAAGGTCATATACTATTGAAGTAAGGTGCACCGCACCTCAAAACCATGTAGAAAATGGAGTTTTGGTGCCACAAAGCCTTGCAATAATATGAAAATCTATTGTTATTCTCAATTATGACGTTTAAAGTTTCAAAAATGGTGACGATCGAACGGATCTATAAACACTTGAAAATATTGAAAATGGATCGTCCAGATAATATATTAGAAGATCCAACTATTAAGACTAGAAATCTCTTTTTTTCATGCTAATGATTATTGAGGTCGAGATGATTTGAGGGTTTTCTGGCATAAAAACAACTTTCTCTCGCGGGTTTTTTAGGTACACTTTACTCATACGGAATAAGGTTGACACCTTATAAAAACTTTTTCCGTGAAAAAGAGGGATCTGTGCATGGAATTTAACAAATTACAGACCTATGCGTAGATGTACATGATATTTCTTCTTCTTTTTTTTTTGAAAAATACAATTTTTATTTCTCTGAAATGTGGTCCTTTAGTGATGATTTACAACAAAAAATGCAGGGGGTGATCCCAGTTGATAAACAAATCGAATATTTTAAAGAATATGTGGCGAAGGTGCAAGGCCTGATAGGGAAAGGCAAGGCTCTAAAACTCATAAAGGGCGCCCTCTTTGCTTTGAGTGCCGGGACCAATGATTTTGGATCCAATTACTTTCTTCTTCCCTTGAGAAGTAAGCATTATAACACGGAGGAGTACCAGCAATTCCTTCTCAACAAGCTCCAAGGCCATCTTCAAGTAAAAAACATCTCTTTCTCTCTTACTCTTTCTCTCTCCTACTCACGTGCCTATGGTATTATTATTTTTTTAGAAAATTTATTAAAGAGATTGTATATAATTCGATTATTTAGTTTTTAGTACAAGAAGGTCATAATTGTTTATAATTATGTGATGTGAAATCGGATAGCTTGGGTATATCATGATGTTCGGAAAAAATTCTTTTTAAATTATGAGCGTAGTCAATAGAATAAATGTAGCCACCCAATTTCACATCCAATGGTCAAAAATTAATTATAACTACTTTATACCAAACGTCAATAGCATCATAGTGTACTTTTCCTCTATTATAATACTTACGAGGGTGGATTTGGATTATAATCACGTGTATTTTGAAATTTAGGTAAAATGTTAAAACGTTCATCTCGATGTTTTGATAAAAAGCACGTACACTATGATCGTTCAGAAGCATAGCATACATTTACTTTGGATGGTTCGAGTGTAATCTTGGGGTATTGTAAGAATAGACACAATTAATCATTAGCATTCTTATTAGCTTGCCTAAAAATGTAGGTACGCCCGATATTTATTGAAGCTACAATTAGGGGTCGCAATGGACTCGGGACCTGACGATTGGATACGACCCTGATCGAGGTATCAAAAATTAGACCCGATGGGTCGGGTCCAGGTCTATATGGACTTAACCCTGACCAAAACACGACTTGAATAATATTATTATTTAAATAATATTTTATATATAATATTTTAACTAATATTTAATATTTATATTTATTTAAAAAATATAAGTATGTATTTTAGTTATAATATTAAATTATATATATATATATATATAGATATTGGGTCGGGTTCGGGTCTAGTTAGGTTCGATAACTTTGGGTCCAGTTGGGTTCAAGTAGAGTATCCAGGGTGTCCTGTCCTTACATGCGCACCATCTTACAACATTTAGTAGCTACCCTTCAAACAAAAACTTGATTTTGGCTAGGGGTAGCAATGGACCCAGACCCGACCCAGGGCCCACCAGGTATACCCAACATGTATCCGGGTATGAGTCCAATATTCGAACCCGATGGGTAGGGTCTGGGTTCAAAACCTAGACCCGTACACTATACGGATCTGGATCCAGTTGGACCCGACTTGTACCTTTAAATTGTTGGAGATAAAATACTTTTAAGTCCTATTCGTTTGGATGTATTAAAGATATTATACAATAAGAACTCATGGTAATCTTTAGTTATTAATGGTCGGTGATTGTGACTTTGGTGCCATATATGGGTATATGATGGCAGAAAAAGGGCAAAAAAGAAAAAAAAAGATCACATTGATGGTGGTAGTGGATCCGACCAAACCCGGGACCCAACATGATAGACTCCAGACCCAATAGGTCGGGTCCGGCTCCAAAACTTGGACCCAAGTACTATTCGAGCATGGATCGGGATCCAACCGGAACCCAACCCATTGCCACCCCTAATTTTGACAGAGGCCTCGCAAAAGGACTTTCAGCTCAATCTCATTTGCAATACTCTCACCACAAGGACTAAGAATGTATGCAAAATAATTCCATTGTGGTTTGAAATTTGAATTAAACCAATTATTCCTATAGGCCCAAGATTCCCCAGAGAACACTAATCAAAATTTAGATTTTTTTGGAGTTTCGTGGTGGTTTGACTAGCCCCCTTTTCTAGGCTTTTTCAGGCATAACCAGAGAACATTTTCAAGGTTACATGATATATCATACGTTAGTATCCTACTACACAATCTCACCACCTTAGCCCATTCTGCAACATCAGTCAATGTTTTCTTTGAGAGCTTGCTTGTAGTTAATTGCACCTTTAAGTATTCTCCTATTTCTTTCTTTCTACTTCTACCATAAAACAGATGCTAGTAGTAACCACCACATGTTAATACCAGCCTTTCTAATGGGCAGTGGGAACCATCGTTCTAACACTTGAATAAGTAACTTGGGGGTTCTCATTGAAATTCAACCAACTGAAATGGCCAATATCTAAAATTTTCCATAATCTTAAAGAAATTAGACCACCCAGGGTTCTTATACCCATTTGGAGTAAATAACCTGTCTCAAAAGATGACCCTAACATTGTGATTATCCCCACCTCCATCTTGTCAATAAGACTTGATGCATAGCACTTCCTTTTCCAATACTGAGACTAATAGAAACAAAATTCAAACGAGATAGGAAAGTGCATTGCTCTTTACTTTTGAGAGAAGAAGGTAACCAGATAGAAAAGTGTATATTGAATTTGTTTCCATTAGAGACCCCCTCTATTCTTCTTGTAAAGTTGAGCAGCGGAATATACACACTGTTAACAAGCATAATCTGAGTGAAAATAAAAATTGTATTCCCAAATAAGTTAAAAATACAAACACACATCTTTCAATACTACAACTGACTCTGTTGTTTGATTGGACCTGGTCTAGACCATCCCTTCTTTGCTCCGATCTCTCAATATATTCAATACATGTAATGACATCATTGATTTTCTCTTGGATAGAGCCTACTTCATTTTTCTTCCAATCTGTTATCTTGAATTTTAGATTTTGTAATTTCTTCCATATCAGAGAAGGATTTTTCGTGTAACCATCCATGTTCAAAAAAGAAGGATAATAAAAAAAGTGTTAAGTATCCAAAATATTAGACACAGATGTTGTGCCGTAGTTTGTCGATATGTCGAGAAAAAACCAATGAATGCATTTATAATGCTACTCAGCTTACAACCCACAGTTTTTATTGGGTTTATGTGGCCTTCATCATGCTTTATCATAAAATCCTTTTCAGTTTCCATCAAAAACATAAAGAACATTGCATAGGAAACTACTTTCACCCAGTCAAATATTAAGCGACATTTAAGAAGGGCACCTTATGTTTGTGTGTAAAACTTCTTGGCCTTTTCCACAGGCTTTGCATGAGATGGGGGCTGAGAAAATATTGGTGATTGGACTTCCACCAGTGGGATGCTTGCCAGAGCAAATTACTCTCAATTTTGCAGATGGTTGTGTGGACTATCTGAATGGCGTGGCAGTAGACTACAATTTGAAGCTAGTGAATACACTGAGTAATCTCCAAGCAACATTACTAAGAGGCTCCAAAATCAACTATGGGAACATATATCAGCCCTTACTTGACATGATTGGAAAGCCTGAACAATTTGGTACGTATACGCTTTATTTGTACTTATTTGGCATTCTAGCAACATTCATTTGCAGAATTTAATTTTGGCCCTTTTGCAAGAAAATATAAATGAAGTAAATAACTGATGCCGATAAATCAGACTTCTTTTGTCCAATTGGAGTGATCGCCTGCTTTTTATTTTTCCACTCGAAAAAATAATACCCTTGAAATACTTCATTGTTTATGAGGGCTATGTGGACCGTTTTCTGCGTAGCGCATATGGCTTCTATTGGGGCATACTGTATATTTTCACCCTTAGAGAAATTTTTTGATCAAAGGATCCAACCGAGAATCATCCGATGATTATTTTCGAAAAGAAAACAAATAGAAATTTTGAGTCTTTAAGTACTTATGTTTCTAATAGGAATAGTCAATTACTACACATTCTTTCGCTAAACAAAGAGAAGAGCAGTGTGGCACAAGGACTTCAATCGAAGTCATCCATCGTAGTGTTAATCTTGTACTAACTTTAAATTTATGATAGTATTCGATGCATTAGTGCTAGTATGACCAGGAATCGTGTCTAACATATGTCAAAAAGTGTTAGATTTGACAACCAGAAAGTCAAACAGTGCCAAAAACAAAAGTCACAAAAGTAGTTTCATAAAACCATAGTTATATAGAATATATAAAACTTTTAAAATATAATAAATTAGAAATTTATGAAAACATACATTTATGTTCTTGCCCACTTTTGAAAATTTATTATTTATTACAAGTAGAAGGCAGAGAAATGAGTTTTTGTTGGGCAGGCACCAAAATGGGACAAGACCTCCGACCTACCCTAGTGCTCGGAAAGCGATCAGACATGATGAGTTTAGGTTGGCAACCCCCTCTTAAGACTAGCCATTTGCTGGAAATTAAGTGTTATATTGAACTTCAATCACGACCTCAGCTCTATCCCATTTAAAGCCCACGACAAACGAGGCCGAGAACTTCTTGGTTTGGATTTGAAACTTGAATTTTGGATCCTATTCAGATCTAGGTATGAATCCAAGATTTGCGTCGAACAAGTTGGATCCGGATCTGAAATTTGAATCCAAATAAAGATACGGATTGGATCTAGACACAAGGGGATCCAATCCGGATCCAACCCAATTATTCATACATTATATATTATTTTATATACATGCATATATTATATACTATATAGTATGATATTATATATTATTTTATAAATACAAAATAATATATAAAATAATTGTTTTGGATCCGATCGGGTATAAATCCAGATCCAAATCCTATGTATACTTTTTTAATTTAGATTCGGATCCGAATATTATGGATATGATCGGATCTGGATTTGAATCTAGATCCTATGTATACTTTTCGGATCCAAATTTGGATCCTGGTGGATTAAGATCCAATCCACCCACCCTTCATAACCTTAACAAAAAAGCATCAGTATGTCTCTCGACTCCCATCTTTATGAGTTTAAACCTGCACTAGCAGCCAGGCGTAGTGCAACCCCCAAGTATATGGCCCATGCTCCATACTATCTAGGAAAGTTGACTTCCTATCACTTAGAGGTGTTTTAGGAATTCGAGTATGAGCAAATATAGGGAAAAGGGCAGGAGACGTAGTGGTAGTACCCCTACATCTTAGTCACCAAATTGTGATTTTGATTCCTACTCACATTACCCCACAAACACCTCCAAAAAAGCAAGAAGATTCACATCTATGCCTCATGCCTGTGATTAACCGATCAAAGAGGTCACAACCAAGGATCACGATAAGGAAAGCCCATGGGCTTCTCAATGATTTTGTCAAGGAGACGACTTCCGTGCCAGGGATGTGGGCTCGGTTTACGCCCACCTCTGGCCCTAACCTCTCCAAATGTATACCTCCGTCTCATATTCAACAACAAAAAAGAAAAGAGTATGCCTAGGTGCAAGTCACTGAGAGCCTCAAACTGGATCACTGAGGTTTGGATAAACTTGATACGGGGTGTGTTACGGTTTGATGGAATGGAGAACCATGAACTAAATTGAGAGAGAGAGAGTTACAATTAAGATGAAGTGAAGGCTAAGGCAAAGCTTAAAAACAAATTTTGGCAGCATAGAATTGGTTTTTGAGAATGTACCCAATAACCCTACTTATAGACTTGGATTAGGGTTTAGTAATTGACCTGTTATGGGCTATTGATCATGGAGATTTATGGAGTAAAGACACGCTTAAGTCAATCCATTCAACTTATCTGTCATCAATCAAGGTCTGAGATTTACGATTTATCCTCGATGCATCAAAACCAAATTTCCCTTTAGTTTTAACTTATATGCATACTATAACTTGGTTCAATTTCCAGCTAATCCTTAAAAATATCCCTTCAATTCAAACTGCACGTGTGAGTGAGAAAAGATAAAAGAGAGAATGAGAAAGAGAGAGAGGGGCTTGCCCCTTTTGGCTTTCCCTTGGCCTTAATCTTCACTCTCTCTCCTTTCACATTCTAGAGAGAGGAATCTTCTTCATCTCTTCTCTGTTTTACTTTAAAGAGTGATTTACGTACGAAGTATGAAATTTAGGTAAAATACGAAATGTTCTACTTATTGACAGAAATTAAAAAGAATGTCGATCAACTCGTTTTTTTTATTTTCCAAAATTGTCACTCAGGCAACCCTAATTTTGATTTTTTTTAACTTTTTTTTTAGCTTTTTCGTTAGTAGGGCAGTGCCTTAAAGCTTGGAGCGCTGCCCTACTAACGAAAAAACCAAAAAAAAAAAAAAAAAATCAAAATTGGGTTGACCGAGAGGCAATTTTAAAAAAAACTAGAAATAAATGGGTTGACTGACCTTCTTTGTAATTTCTCCTTATAAATGAAGCGTTTTGTATTTTACCAAACATTTTAAGGTCCTTACGTAAATCAATCGACTTTAAATAATCATGGTGTGCCCCCTCTCTACTCACCACGCCAACCAAAAAAAAAAGATGATATATTTGGGCAATTGGACAGTCGAACTTTTGAACCGCCCAAAAACTTTCGAATTACCAAAAATATAAAGGACATTATGTGTTTTGGTGGTTCAAAAAATCCAATTTCAAACTACCTCAACTACAAAAAAAGCATAAGAAAAACAAAAACTAAGTGTTGCACAATTCAAATGTTAGACATTCTAAATGTCCAAATATACTAGGGAACATCATAGAAGTTCTATCCTTCCCTTACCATCCCGCCGTCCAATTTTGATCAAGAGAGCCACTCATCATTTGATCTTAGATCCGACATCTCAACGTATTTTATTTTTAGTTTTTTTTTTATACAAATTGTATGAATATGAATTTGGTACGTGTCATCTTCTCATTGGGGCGCATCTATAAAAAAATATTAAAAATAATTTTTTGGTAAAATATAATGACCAAATTACCTCTTGAAACTTTCAGGGATATTTTGGTCATTTTATTTCATTAAAAATATTTTTTTATATTTTTCGCTAGTACGAGTTTAATAGAAGAATGGATATCCAAAATTTGGTCTCAAAATAGTTTATAAAAAAAATTTAAAAATAAAATAGTGTAGTGACATGACATTGTGATTGGGGCAATCTTAGCCCTCCATTCAGAATGGACGGTTGGATAAAAAGGGGGATAAAACTTTTACGTTGTAGAGGAAGCATAGAAAGCTTGCCCAATATACTAAATCCTTTTGCGTTTCGACCGTTCGAAAGACGGACTCTCGAACTTAGGGAAAATCTAAAAGAAAGCTTTCTATTCACCACGGGATATAGGGAATTTATATATACCACTCTCCCAACCATTCAATGGGAATCGATGGCTACGATATCTTTAGTAATAACATCACAAGTGAGACACTTACCGTTTGATCTAGATCTGAGATCTCATAATATTTTAGTTTTAATATTTTTAAAAAATAATATGAACATAGCATTTGATGTGTGTCATCATTTCAATGTGGTGCACTTAAAAAAATATAAAAAATATTTTCTAAAGATAAAATGACCAAACTACCTTTGAATCTTTTAGGGAAACTTGGATCATCTAATTTTATCAGGAATAATTTTTTAAGAAAATTGCAGGTTCAAGTTTATGAGAGGATTGGTCGCTCCAAATTTGCTGTAAATATCATTTCTAAAAAAATTAAAAATTAAATAGTATTTAGAGATAACACTATGATTGGAGTCATCTCAACCATCTATTCAGATTAGATGGTTGGGAAATGAGGGACGCAAGTAAAATACATAAGGATGGGGGCGTATAGTAAGCTTTTCCAAAAATAAAATGCAAAACAAAACAAAAAAAAAAGTGGGAAAAAAATGACCTCAGTGTAATCTGTCCTAAAATATATGGATCATATGATAATATCATATCTTTTTTTCGATCTACACGTAAATATTTCTAATAAGAGACGTCCTTATATCGATACATTTTGAAACAATACCTTCATCATTATTTTGTTCTAATAATACAAAGGAGATTTCTCGTTCAGCACTGTTCAATTAGAAGGTGGAAGTTCGTTGTTCTTTCTATGGAAAATTATAGGTATCTCTCTTGGCCACACTTTCTCAGCATGCCCCTCCCTAACTAAAGAAAAGATTTTTTTAAGGGTTTGTTTGGATAGGAGGAAATTAGGAATTTTAGATATTTGAAATCTAAAAAAATCTATAGACTTTCAATATCAAAGATTTTTGTTATGGATTCTTCAAATCTCTTGTTTGGATAAACTATACAAAATTTATAGATTCCTTGCAATCATTTCCATATCCATTGTTTGGTAACAAAACTTGATACAATTTCTATCTAAAACTCTTAGATATTTGAAATCTAAAAAAATCTATAAACTTTCAATATCAAGGATTTTTATTATGGATTCCTCAAATCTCTTATTTGGATAAACTATACAAAATTTATAGATTCCTTGCAATCACTTCCATATCCATTGTTTGGTAACAAAACTTGATACAATTTCTCTCTCTAAAATTTTTATATATTTTCTATCTCTAAAATTCAAATTTTGGGGTAGTGTAT